AATTAAAACTATCCCGATGTGGGTAATTCTGAAGAACGTTCCATACTCGATGTACTCTTGGAAAGGGTTGGGGTTTTTTGCGAGTGTCGTAGGAGTTCCCAAAAGACTACACCCTGACACAGAGTTATGTAAGAACTTCAATGAAGCAATGGTCTTTGTGGAGGCTGATATGTCGAAAGAATTACCCAAAAGTCATCAATTTGAACTGAAAGAGGGGAAGAAGGTCGTTGTGGACTTTTCATACCCTTGGTTACCACCAAAATGCTCTCACTGCGAGAAATGGGGACATCTGGTGGAAGTCTGTGTTGCTAAGACAGGGCAGAAAACAATATTGCAAAGAAATCTAGGGTCTGTTCTAAGGGACAGAGAAATCAGAAAACTCCAACCAAAGCAACTCTAGTGCGACAATCAGCTACAAAGGAGGAAAAGGTAGCGGACGATGTCTCTGAGACTTGTCAGGGCAGTAAGTCTTCAAAACAAATTCAGTGCAGTGAGGAGCAACAGGGTTTACAGCAGGGACAAATAATTTTGAAAGAACAGTCTAAGGTGTCCGAAATAGCTATTCAAACAAATCAGCAATCAGAGGAAGCTGCGTGGTGTACTGTTTCGCCAAACAAAGCCAGCAGTCAGCTGGATTCTCGAGCGGAAAGACAGTGGGGAAACATTTCCTCTCCATCTCGTTTTGATATTTTGTCTAAGGTTGACATGGAGGGCTTTACCATCTCTGATGTGCAAGATGAAACAGAGACCATTCTTGCAATCCCATCAACGGTAGCAGGCGATACAGAACCAGAGGATTGTGAAATTTCGACATCTGATATTCAAAACACAAGTCAAGAGAAAGATGTGGAAACATCGACAAGGGCACCTCTCCACAGGGCGTCCAAAGCATCCCACATATTTCTCCGAGTGTTGTAGCAAAGAAGAAATCCCAACTCAAACAATAGATGACAGGGTTCTTCTGGAATGTTCGCGGATTCAATAAAACTATTAAACATTCCGTGGTGAAGAAGTGGGTAAGGGATAGTTCGTTACAGTTTGGGTGTTTACTTGAGACGCGAGTCAAGGAGAGTAGAGCATTTTAGATTGCAACATCGGTTTTTCAAGGGTGGTCCTTTCTTTCTAATTATGAAACTCATAGATTAGGTCGTATATGGATTGTGTGGAGTCCCTCTGTACGACTTACTCCTATGTTTAAAAGTGCACAGCTGATTACTTGTTCGGTTCAGCTCGAAGGAGAGGAGGAAGAGTTTATATGCTCTTTCATATATGCTTCAAATTTTGTGTCTGAGCGCCAAGAGTTATGGGCAGACATAAAAGCTCACCAAGATTCCCCTATTATTTGAAACAAACCGTGGGTTCTAATAAGGGATTACAATGAGATTTCTGGATGCCGACGAGCACTCGGAGTTTGCAAGTTCTCCAAGTATATCTGCGGGTATGAGGGATTTTCAGCGGATAACGGATTACTGTTCTCTTATGGATCTCAACTACCATGGCTCGTTACACACATGGTGTAACAAGAGGGATGAGTATTAGTAAAAAGCTGGATAGGGTGTTAGTCAATGATAATTAGACTCAACACTATCCACGATCGTACTTGGTGTTTGAGCCTGGAGGGTGCTCGGATCACCTTAGATGTCGCTTCGCTCTTGATGTTCCGAGAGAATCAACAAGAAAGCCATTTAAGTTCATAAATATTCTAACTGAGCTGGATGACTTCACGCCTACGGTATCAGATCATTGGAAAGGAAGTCCTGCTCTGTTTCAATCTACGTCTGCTCTGTTTCGTCTCTCAAAGAAGTTGAAGACGCTTAAACCAAATCTGAGAGATCTCCGAAAGAAACAGGTGGGAGATTTGCAAAAGAGATCGACAGAGGCCTATTCTACCTTATGCGAAAAGCAGTCTGCAACTCTCTCTGATCCATCACCGCAATCCATTCGGGAGGAGGCTGAAGCTTTCAGAAGATGGGAGCGTGTTGCTGGTTTGGAGGAGAAATTCCTGAAACAACGATCAAAGCTACATTGGCTTAAGAAAGGAGATGGCAATAACAAGGTTTTTCACTTGGCAGCTAAGGAAAGGCAGATGCGAAATTCTATACGGGAGATTGAATGTTCAGATGGGAATATAACGTCAAGTAATGAAGCGATTAAAGCTGAAGCCGTCCGGTTTTTTCAGGATTTCTTGCAACATGAGCCGAATGATTTCGAAGGCATATCAGAGGAGAGTTTACGGAATTTACTTGGATTTAGATGTTCGGAACTAGACCAGGATTGTCTGATACAGGATGTTTCTGAGGCGGAGGTGAAAGAGGTCTTATTTAAAATGCCATCGGACAAATCTCCTGGTCCCGATGGCTTTACAACAGAATTTTTCAAAGTGGCTTGGCCCATAGTCATTGGTGATTTCACGGTGGCAATTCAATCCTTCTTTACGAAGGAATTTCTTCCTAAGGGACTGAACTCAACAATATTAGCATTGGTTCCGAAAAAGGAAGGGGCTAAACAGATGAAAGATTATCGCCCTATATCTTGCTGTAATGTGATTTATAAGGTGATATCTAAAATCTTAGCGAATCGATTAAAGGTGATTCTCCCGAAGTTTATTGCTCTGAATCAAACAGCGTTTGTAAAGAACCAGCTGTTACTGGAGAATCTTTTATTAGCTACAGAGCTGGTGAAAGATTATCATAAGGATAAAGTGTCTCCCAGATGTGCGATGCAGATTGATATTTCGAAAGCTTTCGACTCAGTCCAATGGTCTTTCCTATTAAACACCCTCTCTGCTTTAGACTTTCCGGCAAAGTTTATTCATTGGATTCGGCTCTGTATCACAACAACTTCCTTCTCAGTGCAAGTAAATGGTGAATTGACGAGTTTTTTTCAAAGTAAAAGAGGTTTGAGACAGGGCTGTTCACTCTCTCTTTACGTCTTTGTTATTTGCATGAATGTGTTGTCGAATCTGCTTGACAAAGCTAGTGCAGATTGGCGAGTTGGTTACCATCCATCCTGCAAAACCTTGGGGTTCACTCATATGTGTTTTGCTGATGATTTAATGGTTTTTGCTGATGGAAAGCCTAGTCCTATGGAGGGGATTATCGAAACCTTTGAGGAATTTGCTAAGATTTCCGGTATAAAAATCAGCTTGGAAAAGTCGACTCTGTTCATGGCAGGGGTTCAGCCATCGATACGACAAACGATTGCAGAACGCTTCCTTTTTGCAGTTGGCTCTCTACCAGTCCGATATCTCGGTTTGCCGTTAACAACACGAAGAATGACAAGCGCTGACTACCTGCTTTTGTTGGAGAAGGTTCGCTCGCGGATCCGATCTTGGAGAGCCCGATTTTTGTCTTTTGCAGGTAGACTGCAACTACTTAAATCGGTCATTATGAGCTTGATCAATTTCTGGTCAGCCGCGTTTTGCCTTCCGCGAGAGTATCTGGACAGTGTGGAGCAGCTCTGCTCTGCATTTCTCTGGTCCGGTCCCGATCTTAACTCACATAAAGCTAAAGTTGCTTGGACAGAAGTGTGCAGGCCTAAAGATGAAGGAGGTTTAGGCATTCGCTCAACCAAAGACATCAATAAAGTAAGCTGCTTAAAGCTCATATGGAGAATCCTCAACCCTCAGTCGTCACTCTGGGTAACATGGGTTCGCCAGTATTTGATGCGAGGTTTATCCTTCTGGTCGATCTCTGAGAAAAGTCTGGCGGAGTCATGGATGTGGAAAAAGATTTTGAAGCATCGAGATATGGCGAGGGCTTTTTACAGAGTTGAGTTGGGAAATGGATACGAGACTTCTTTCTGGTTCGACCAATGGTCTCCTCAAGGGATTTTATTGAAAAAAAAATCGGGGCTGGAGGTAGAATTGGCATTGGTATTCGGCTTCAGGAAACAGTCGGCTCGGTGCTTGACACACATCGTAGGCGAAATCACCGCTGTAGCATCTTTAATGAGTTGGAGGAGCTCATTCATGATCAGAGAACTCGGCGTAAAGAGTCTGAAGACAGAATTCTGTGGAAGGGGCGAAGTGATAAATACAAACCTTCATTCTCTGCAAAAGACACTTAGAATCACATTCGGACAGTTTGGCCTAAAGTGAACTGGTTTGGAGGAGTCTGGTTTACGTATTCAACTCCAAAGTATTCGTTTCTTGTGTGGCTGGCTATTCTCAACAGGCTAACTACATGGCTTCTTGGAGTAACACCATCACCATGAATTGTGTCTTCTGTAACCACCCATTAGAGACAAGAGACCATCTCTTCTTCTCTTGCGGTTTTACAGGTGAAATCTGGTCCAATTTAGTGAGGAAGCTGATGGGAGGGCGATTTACAACAGAGTGGAACAACCTTATTACTATCCTTCAACAGTCTGCGCAAGACGCAACTACTCTGTTCATTCTGTGATACTCGTTTCAGGCTTTAGTTCACTGCATTTGGAGGGAACGGAATAGGAGATGTCACGGTGATGACCCGTCCACCACACATCTCCTCACTAAGTTCCTGGACAAATGCATTCGAAACCGCTTATCTTCTCTTCGTCAGCTTGGGGTAAGCAAACATGGGGATAGCTTACAAAAGTGATACTCGATAGTATAGAGCAAAAAAGCATAATCTTTATGTTTTCTTTCTGATTTTATGAAGCATTCATTGTAAAGATGATTTTTTGATGAATAAAATTTTACATTCTTAAAAAAAAACAAAATGTTAAAAACGTCTCTTAAATTAGAACACTAAGAAACCGTTGTTAAAGACAGATAGAAGCATGTAACTGGTTATTCAATTTTTTTCTTTTCTTCTTTTTTTTTTTCGACACAAGTTTTCAATTTAGTTATTGGGTTTTGAGCAATGGACATTCAAAACAAATGAATCTCTTAAATGAGTCTTAAACCCAACTTTAATATTAAAAAATAATTAAAAGACCCTAATGAGACTCAGCAATGTTTATGCTCTAATGTATTAGAGGAGAAAGAGTAATATGACGATGACAATTTAGAAAAGGAATAAAATAATATGGTTTTTTCTTAAATAGCTCAACAAAGAAAAGAAAAAATGGCATTACACTACTCTGATAAAACAGATGTCAGCCAAACAACATAATCAAACAAATACTTAGACCCTAAATCTTCCAGTTAAACCCCTAAACTCTCTGCATCAGATTATAAACCAAAGACACACTAAATCCTAGTTTTAAGAACATAAAGTCTTACAGAGAGTTAACCAATTCTACGGATCCTCACAAATAGACCAAACTCATTCGGTCTACAGAAGTTACACAGTTTCTAAGCTCGGGATCTAACCGCATAAATTCTTCCGGTTTTAAACTGGTCTCCATCTTTCCTTCTCATCTCAATGATCTTCCTGTGAGAGTTTGAATGCACAGTTGGGATGAAGGTCGGGCTCGAGGCTGGACGGTATTCTGGAACAAGACGGCCTGATCTGAACCTGACGCCACAAGCATTGCAAAGTGTTTTAGGCCCACTGGGACCTTCCCTCCACTGTGGAGTCTTGGTTGTCTCGCAGTGAGTGCATTTCCGGACTGTCCCATCTGCGTTAAACGGCTCTGGACTGTAAGAGACCGAGTGGGCCGCACGGTTCTTGCTCTTCTTGCGTCTCTTCTTGGAGGAATTCTCAGAAGAGAGGTAAGTTTCAGATTCTGACTCATCTGGAGCAAACTGCTGAGACATTCCTGATGCAAATGTCAGGAGGGACCTGATTCTCGGCTCTGTGGGGCGTTTGCGCTTGCTTCTGATGCCTTTCACAGGAAGGGCCAGCCTCTGAGCTCGGTTTGGGTTTTGGAACGACACAGAACCATTGGCGCTCTCGAGAACTGAGACTGGGCTTGAAGACTGAAACAGCTTTGAGACTTTGACATCAGGAAGGGAGCTGTCGACTTCCGAAGAACTCGACTGCTTCTGCATCGCATGAAGACAAAGCCAGTGAATGTAAATTTCAGACACATATTCAAAAACACTAGGAAGCGTATCCATGGTAAAAATGAAAGACAGGATCTTTATCAGTTCCTATCCTTACAAGATATGATACCATTTATGGTTTGTGTCCCACGAGTTAAGTAAGAGATATAGAAGACTTCTACAGATTTAAGAGATCCATACTTAACAACACAGTAGAGCCATAAAGAAGTATACAAACAAAACAAGCAGAGCATAATTCCACATACAGATTTCCATATACAGACACTAAACTAACCAACGTAACTTACCTTTTATTGAAGAAAAATCCCAAAGTTCCCCCTGCCACAAAGGCACCAAACCACCACAAAAACACTCGACGCACTTAACTCTCTTATCACATCCATTTATATACTCCAGCTACTGAGCTGGGAACTAGTCCTATACATGGCCATTTGACTCAAAACAACAGGCTATAGTGAAAGACCTAAGACACAGCATAGTCCTATTCTCATAACTTCAGAGACTTGAAATATACACTCTCGGCTGCACCATAACCATGGGATTCTTTTCCAGGTGCTTTCCCTATAGAAGCAATACGCTAATATCTTTTCCTCATGCAAATGTGTATTGTGATTATGTGAATAATCTACCAAAGTAACATGTGTATGATGTGTAAACATGTTTTTTTTTTTTTGCATGCACACTTCTAAGAACTCTTACATTACCGAATTCTAAGCTACCAGACAGAGTCCTAAGAATGTATTACATTACCGAATTATTTCCTCCAACAAATGCTCGTTTTGTTGTGAAAATGATGCATGACGAGGGCATAGATGATGCATAAATAATGCATAAATTAAGCATAAGAATATGCATAGAAAAACTAAAAAAGTAAGGATAAATGATGTATATGAGCGTGATTCTGTGACTTATACACACTTTTCTAACATGATGCAATAAAAAGAAAGCTTGAAACCAAAAGAATGATAATGTACAATATACCAAATTATTCCTTATACAAATGTCTATTGTAATCGTGTGAATGATCGATCAAGAAACGTAAACAAATGAAGTTTGAATCCAAAATGATGCACTTTCCTAATGCAGATAAGATTGATTATTTTCTAACGCAATTTAGCAACCGATGCAATAAAAGTCATCTGAAGCTTGAATCCAAAATAACTGTTTTGTTGCGGTGTAACAAAATTAGTTGACCAATGCATATATGCGAATTGATTATGAACAACATATCAAGTTGCATAAATGATGCAAAGTGAACTCTCTTTTTCTCGCATTTTTCTAACCATATGTGTAAAAAAGCAATTGAGGTTTAAAGAACCATTATGTAAATACGATCCTAACTTAGTGTCCCTAATCAAACATGTTCTGTGATCGTGTAAAATAATCATTCAAGTAATATGAATGGATGATGCGTATAAGTGTGATTAATTATCTTTTTACGCTCTTTTCTAACCTAACAACACTAAAAAGCTACCAAAGCTTGAATGCAAATGACCAACTTTCCTAAATCAAATGTGTGCTATTGACTGTGGCATAATCTAATAAATAATATGCTTAAGTTTCCTGTTCAAACATGGCTCTTTTGCACACGCTTCAAACCTACATGCAGCGCAAAAACTATCCAACAGACAAGACAAGCATAGATAAATGTACACAAGCATCAAGAACTCACCAAAACGGGCACGGGCTTTTGGACTCCCACGCGTTGTCCCTTGCAAGTGCTACCATGAGTGAACTCAGAGGACAAACTCGTGAGCACATCCAATGAAGGAGGCACGAGGTTCTGAAACTCGGCGTCCCAATCTCCATCGCCACTGCCGGTTTCGATGTCTTCTAGGGGAAAATCGAGATGATTGATGAGATCATCAAAGAAGTTATCCCCTAAACCCTTGAAGTCCTCTTCAGGTAACCAAGAACCGTTATTCATTTGTCACCCTCTGTCGAAAAAAACCATTGACAAAACACACCATAAGGCAACACAAGAGTAAGAAGCCAAGCCATGTAACAGGTATCAACTTTTTCAGAGATAGACAAAAGAATCTTAAAAAAAGGTTTTCAATTGAATATGAATGTTAAAATCAATGACTTTACAATTTACTTCATAAGAACAGTTTACAAATTCATCATGAGGACACCAAAATATGAAGTATTGACTATTGACTATTGACTAAAAATTCAATTACCATATTCACAAATAAACTTTTAAGCTTAGACAAAACACATCATAGGGCAACACAAGACTAAGAAGCCAAGCCATGTAACAAGTATCAATTTTTTCAGAGATAAGCAAAAGAATCTTTAGAAAAAAGGTTTTCAATTGAATATGAATGTTAAAATCAATGACTTCACAATTTACTTCCTAAGAACAGTTTACAAATTCATCATGAGGATACCTAAATATGAAGTATTGACTATTGACTAAAAGTTCAATTACCATATTCACAATTAACCTTTTAAGCTTAGACAAAACACATCATAGGGCAACACAAGAGTAAGAAGCCAAGCCATGTAACAAGTATCAATTTTTTCAGAGATAAGCAAAAGAATCTAAAAAAAAAAGGTTTTCAATTGAATATGAATGTTAGATTCAATGACTTTACAATTTACTTCATAAGAACAATTTCGAAATTCAGCATGAGGATACCTAAATATGAAATATTGACTATTGACTATTGACTAAATTTCAATTACCATATTCACAATTAAACTTTTAAGCTTAGCTCATCAATATGTTGACTCAAAGTGAGAAGCAATAAAGCAGTTTCTCATATTACATAAATGGCAAAAGATTCATTGAGTCAAGAGGATAAAATTATATTTCCTCAAACAATTTTTCTTCATTTCATAATTTGAATTGAAAACCATTTCGGGACATACAAGAATCCGAGGAACAGTCTCCGGTTTCATTTTCTTTTTAGGGCACAAAGAGATAAGAATCACAACGAAAAAAAATCCTTTGTAACATTTGTCTCAATGTCCAAAACAAAACACAAAATGAAGAAGAAAATGCAAGAGAAAAAGCGAAAGTGAAGAAAGATGAACAAACCTTGTGATACAGATGATGACTACACAGAAAGCATTCCCAAGCGCGAGCGAGGGAGAGTGATAGAGAGAGAGGAGAGAGATGGAGGAGAGAGAGAATCTAAAATTGTCCGAAATTGGGGATTTAGGGATTACAGAACAGAGAGAGAGAAGAGGAGAAAGAAGAGAAGGGGGAGAGGAGATATATTTAATATGCGGTAACGCACATGGAATTTTTCAGTGTGTCTTCTTTACATTAACAAAATCTTCTTTTTTTTGGAAATGAATTTTTACATATTTTCTGTCTTTTTTACTTATACAACTCAAGATTTCTTCACTTTAAAGAAATTTGTAAATCAATTTTCTAATTTTAAGAAAGGAAATAACTTCTGTATTGTACATGCATGGAGAAAACTGGGACAAATATTAATGGGAGAAATTCAATTCATACCCTATATTAAGCAAATGATTAATTTTGTTTCTTATATATAAAATTAGTGTTTTTAGTAAATATATTTCTCTGTAAATATAAAATTAGTTTTTTAATAAAATATTTCCCTGTAAATATAAA